ATTGTTTAACATAAGTGAAAGTAAACAGGGGGAAAAAAGTAAAAAATACTTTCAAAGATACTCACACACAAGGCAACATTTCGAACAGATGACATATAGCTTCCTTTATCATCCTTTTCTTTTATTGTACTGCCTGCAGAAGTTGACAGATGAGACTTCCTATCATTACTACTGGGATATGATTGAGTACTATCTTCATCCTGTTCTGCATGCCATTCAAGCAACAAGCTACTTCAAAAGAAGCTGAAAAAAAGGACGCCATAATAGTCCAAAGACTTTTCCACTTGTGTATAGATACTCAAAATGTCAAACTACCAATACCATTGAAGATTCAAAAGATTTTTCAACTCATCAAAATAAAATGAACTGATAAGCCAAACAATAGCATCAATATGGAGGGGAGGGAGGAGAAGAGGGGACTGCAAATTAATACTACTATTCCCATCAAGCATGCAACTCTCCCTCTAGCCTTTCTCTACCACTCTGCAAATTTTACAAGTAGACCATCATCTTTCTACATATATTTCCATATTTTTTTTCTGTTAGACAATCTACTCTTGGTAACTGAAAGATATGAGTATATCACAGAAAGGATTTTGAAATAACAAGGAAAAAAAATAGAAATTGGGACTTTGTAAAAATTTGAGATATGATTGTCGTGTGTGGGCAAAGGGAAGAAGTTGATGGATTAAGAAAGCCACAAGTGCACAAACGAGGTGCAGTCCTACTAACAGAAAAATTATAATTAGAGCAGCGACATGATCAGCAATTAATCTTGGTTAATGTTTTGTGAAGACCACTAACATGTAATTTAGGAACAGTATTTGACCTTTTGAAACCTTTCTAAGTGGTAAACCTCAAAATATATTTAATTGCTTTGAGTGACTCAAGATACAAAAACATTTCTCAAATGATTTTCAGGCAAGCATGTGGCTACTGCTTGTCCGCTGAATATGGAAGAAGAGAGAGTGAATGAAGCTCAAGCTGACCTGTGGCTTGAATGGAAGCTATTAGGGTGAATTTTGTTACTCAGGAAAACAAGATGATATTATGTTGACATCCTAAATAGGAATAACAAGATGATTATTTGTAGATAGAGGGAGTAGATCATAACTATACATAGTTGCTCTATGGATGAATTATGTTGACAGCAAACAACTACAGATACTCAATGCCAATCCCATATCGCCGGAAAGGCAATAATCACGTCACATACAATAACAAGCAAGTAAAAAAGAATGCATTTTGGATGCCCGGGAACTCAATGACATTACCACATCCCTTCTTGTGTTTCGTTAACAAAGATCAAATTCTAATTAGTCTTAAACTACTATTTCCATCAAAATTGAATCATTTACAGCCAGCTTAGCAAGTGATAACAAATAACGATATCGCCACTATATTGGTAATCAATTTATACTTTATTCTATAAGGACAGTACCATGCATCTATGCTAATGTCTAAGGTTTTTTGGCCTCGTAAAATTTAGACTGGCATTCCCTTGTTCTTTTTAGACTGGCATTCCCTCGTAAAATGTAAACGAGGGAGAGGGAGACCGAAAATGACTTGGTGGAAGGAGTTAGGAAGGATATGAAATATATGGATTTGCATGAGGATGAAGCATTGGATTGTAAGGGATGGAGGAGGAAGATTTATGTCGATGACTACACAAAATAATCAAATTTGGTTCATGTAGCTGACCCCACTTATGGGATTAAGGCTTTGATTGATTGATTGATTCCCTCGTTCTTTAATGTTGACCCCATTTGACCTTTTCACGATTTCAAATGAACATCATTGAACAATAATATCTTTAAATTTAATCACGTATGATTAAAATTATGAAAATTTAAAATATTAAAGCTGCATCAAAATGAATTTAAAAAAATCTACCTACAGGTATGTTCTCGTTAAATTCATGGATACATAATCATGGTCACAATTCCCCTCTTCAAATGAAATTATTCGAGACAAACATAGAACAGAAAGAGAAATCAATTACAATAATTAATAGAAATTATACTAGTATAAGGTAATCATTTACAGTAATTATACTTGTATACTTGTAATTATACTTGTATAATTACAGTAATTAATAGAAATTATACTTGTATAAGGTACCTGAGGTAGTGGAAGTAGTATCTTCCTCCTTAGTACTCTTGGCATAAACAACGGATAAACTATGCGTTTGCTGGGAATTCACTGAATCAAAATCAATCAAATTAAACAAAATCATCAAATTAAATTCGAAACATCGAAAACGAAGCTTAAGAGAGAGTTGCCTGAGGGAAGAAGAAGAGATGGAGGATGCAAAAAGTGAGTAGAAGACAAAGAAATGGAGGATGAAATTCTGGTGGAGAAACCCTTATTGAATTTAAGAGGGATTGTTTGGACACCATTGTTGATCACTGAAGTAACTCCCATTTTTGCAAAGATTTCTGGGTTTTGGGAGGTTGTGATTTCGTAACACTTTAGTTTAAACTCTCACTCAGTCACTCATGAAAGAAAGAAGAAGTCTGGAATTCGATTTTGTTTTTTCTGAATTTGGAGGGAGGAGGAAGGTCGTCCATTTTAGATGGGGATAATAGACACAGAATCTGTAAGGCTTGATGATTATTCTGATGCTGGGTACGGGCTGGGTCGGGCGAGTGAATGTGTCGTGCTAGTGGCCCTCGTGCTGTGATTAAACATACTACTTGTACAGTAGCCTTGTAGGAAAAAAAATATGAGTTAAAATTACTTCATATACTACAAATTTGTTATTTAGAAAACGAAAGTTTAGACGATTTTAACAAGATATACAAGACACAATTACGAAAAGATAAATCCTTACCGTTTAAAAAGTATGAGAAAATACTTATTAATAGTATTAAGACAATTATATCCTTAAAATATTTGTTTACTTATATGCCCCTATTAATATGACATTAATTACTTCTAAGCTTTTCATTGTATGATTTAATGATTTAACTCCTATAAATAGTGTTTGGATAATTATAAACTCAAAAATATTTATTTGTTCACTTATTTACCTTCATTAATGGTACTTGTCTTTTTTTGTTAATAGCTCTTAAGAATAATGAATGGATATTTATACCATAAAAAAATTTGTTTACATAATTTCTCTCATTAGGTTGTCAACCGAAAAAGTTCTTCGGATATTGCTAGCTATAGCAAAGTTGCCATAGTCACAAAAAGGTAACATAAGTTAATTGCTAGTCTAGAATAGAGTCTTGAGATAAGTCTCATGCAAGACTCGTGCGTTAATATCATCAAAGACTCATGTGAATCTTGGATTGAGTTTGGAAAATCTAAACTCGTCTCCAGACTTTGCATGGTAACAAAGGTGCTGCAGCATTTGATCATGAGCCAATCACAACTTACCACCTCACTTAACAAAGTTAATGGCAATTCAATCTCAAGAATCCCAACGGCTACTTGCATGTAATTATAAAAATTTCGCAAAATTAAATAATTTCGTAGTATTATAAAATTATCGTTATATATTATAAAATAAATTTAGTAATTATCATTAAATTTAGTAATTATCGTTAAATTTAGTAATTATCGTTGTGTAATATGTCGTCTATAACAAGTTTTACAATATTAACTTAAAGATAATTTTATCCGAATCATCATAAATGAGTATTTTTATCCAAAATAAATTCATAAGACATGAGTATTAATAATGTTTACAATAATTAAAAAATAATAATTAAAGATATTTTACAAAAAAATCATCAATCATCAATAACATAATACTAAAACAGATACCAGAAATGACACGTGTCAGTGTGTCACTTCTTGGTGCAAAATTTTCCCTCCAAAAACTATTTTTCTTTTTTCTTTTTTCATTTTAGCCATTATGGGAAAGATTTTATTATGTATGGGTATAATTTAATTATCTCCTTTTGTTTCTTTTGTAATTGTTTCAACTATAATATTGTTTCCTATAATCAAGATTTAAATTTATCAAATTTATTTCAAATTTAATATTATTTTTTAAATTGGTCAACATATATATATTTTTTTCGAACAGGTCAACATATATATTATTAGAGCACTCTCAATGGTGAGCATTTTATTTGCTCATGGGCATATTTGATGAGCAAATAAAATGCTCACCATCTACAATGGTGAGAAAATACAAAAAACCCAAAAAAAGCCCACGGGCAAAATGGAAAACGCCCAAAGTATGGGCATTTTCTTTGATGAACAATAAAGCAAGTGGGCATTTTCTTTGACTGAGCGCGTCAGCGAGCTGACCAAGGGGAAGAAGACACGTGGCATGCGCAGTAGATTGTCCAATGAGAAAATTGTTACCGTTTACAACGGTTACAATTTTTGTAATGTATTTTCTGAAAAATATATTTTGTAAAAAAAAAAAAAAAAATTACCAACGGTCATAAAATTAAATTCTCTATAAATAGACATGCATTTTGATATATTTTGATATAATTTCGTAAACACTTTAAATCCTCCACATTTTAATTTTCTTAAAAGTATTTTAAATTTGTAGAAGAATATTGTTGTTGCAATTCACCCATATTCAGGTAACAATTAGTTTTTTTTATTTTTAAATTTATTTTTCTAATATAATTAGTATATATGTGATTTTTTTAAAAAAAAAAATTGTAGGCCATGTAATTATATTGCAATATGTAATTAAACAAAGTTGTGTATATTTTCTCCATAAATTTCTATATATAAATGTAGTTACGTAATAAAATTAGTATATATGTGATTTTTAGGCCACGAAATTATATTGCATTATGTAGTTAAACAAAGTTGTGTATATTTTCTCAATAAATTTCTAAATTCATAGTTCTTAAGTGTTGCAAGTATTGGTTAATTAATTTTTTTTAATATGTACATGTAATTATGTGTTAAAATTAGTATATATGTTATTTTTTGAGGAAAAAAAAAATATTGTATGGCATGTAATGTAATTGCATTATGTAATTGAAGAAAGTTGTTGTTTTTTTATGCAGAATCTTTTAATGGATCCAAACAACCCAAATTTCCGTCAACAATTTTCGGGTTTTAGTGATGATTTCCTAACTAATCCCGAGTTTCAATTGTTCTTGCAAAGAATAGGCAGTATGTCTTCGCAACCACCTCCTCTGCATCAGACACCCACTGAGGTTCCCCTACAAAACCCTGCTAATGAAGATCGTACACCCGAAACTGATCTTGGTAGTAACACACTCTTCGATGAGAGCGAAGAGGAAAGCGTACCAGAGACGCCGCGATATCCTCCTCCAGCAGTTCGCTTGTGGAACCCAACCAGGTTCCTGCACGAGCTACCCGTATTTGGTATGTTGCGGAAGATGAAGCTCTGATTGGGTTGTACTTGCAGATTAGCGAGGATGCTATTAAAAGTACAAGCCAAAAAGCAACTAGCCTATGGCGCAATGTACATGCAGCATATCAAACTTTGCATAAGCAGAAGCCGCATATAATTCCGCCAAGGCCTATTAAGAGTCTGACGTCGCACTGGAGAAGGTTGGCAGCGGACACACTGCAATGGATATCTTGCTATGATGAAGCAGGTAGACTTCCGGAGGGAGGGAGTGGTTACAATGAAGCTGATCGTATGAAAAGTGCGGCGAAGCTTTTTCATGTCGCCCAAGGTCGCAATTTCACTTTTCCTCACGCAATTGAAATGCTTAACAAGGATCCAAAGTGGAGACCAAAGTTGAGATGGTCAATGTCCTTGAAGGAAAGAAAAGCCGCTTGTGATGCTGAGGAAGAAGGTAGTGCTGGAAGTGGGAAGAGGTCCAGAGATGATGTAGAGGATGAAACCCCTACGGATGGTTTTTCATATGGCGGTTTACAACGACCCGAGGGTGTCAAGAAGGCAAAGGCGAAGCGTAAAGGGAAAGCAGTAGCAATAGAAAGTGGTTCGTCTGAGCTTAGCGAACGAATGAAGGAATTCGCTACAATTCGCGAGAGGGAGGACATTCTGAAGGAAAAGAGGATCAAAATTGAAAAAGACAAGTAACAAAGGAAAAGGGAGGAACTTGACATTCATAAGATGAAAACCTGGTTTGATATGGTGCAAGCTCTGAAGAATTCGCCTACGCCACTCACTTCTGAAGAAGAGTCGTACAAGAATTTTTTACTGGGTAAATTACAAGGCCTTTAAGCATGTTTGGTTGTAGTCTTTTATTTATTAAGCGCAATTTAGTCTTTTATTTTTAAGTTGTATTAGTGGTGTGGTTAATCTCAATGTAAGATGTACACTTGTATTCTGATTTTCCAATATTGAATGACAAGTTGTTTAACAAGTTGATTTAAGTTTCCATTCATACCGACATAATTGCTTTAAATCTTTGTCATTGTGTAGTCACAGTTTTCTGATTTCACTTTATCAGAATGCTTTAACTTTGTGTCATTGATACCGACATAATTACAATAAATCTTTGCCATTGTATAGCCACGTTTTCCTATATTCACTTTATTAGAATGCTTTACCTTTGTGTCATTGATACCGACATTATTGCACTCAAGACTTGTCACTGTCAACTAGCATAGTATACCTATTCCGTGGTTGAAAATTTGATTCCTGTACTTGGTGTGGTCATTCAGATTTGTAACCACATATTCATTTGATATTTTTGCTATATATAGTAGGCATGACACATATCCACAACCACACCCCTTCATCAAGTAACAATATTAATACGAGATGTATTCTAGACCATCATCACGCTCAAGTTCAAGCTCATCTTCTTCAAATACTGAAGAATATGACCAACTTGTTGATGAACTCTTCACATACCAACCCCCACCTGTCCTCATGCCCCAAACACAATCCCAACACTCTTCAAAAAAACCTAGAGGGGGTACGAATAGAAAAGATAGGGAAATTGGACATGCCAGGTTATTTAATGATTACTTTTCCAATAACCCTGTGTACAACACCACCCAATTTAGAAGAAGATTTTGTATGCAACGACCTTTGTTTGTACGTATAATGAACAAGGTCGTTGAAGGTGATGTTTACTTCCAGCAGCGTAGGGATGCAGCTGGAAGGTTAGGTTTATCACCTCTGCAAAAATGTACAGCGGTGATAAGAATGTTAGGCTACGGCATGGCTGCGGACGCCGTGGATGAATACGTTCGGATCAGTGAGTCAACCGCTCGAGTTACCCTTCAACGTTTTTGTACCGGTGTCATTGAGCAGTTCGGAACCGAGTACATGCGAAACCCTACAACTGATGAATTAGCCAGAATACTGCATCAAAATGAACTGCGTGGTTTTCCAGGCATGATAGGCAGCATTGATTGCATGCATTGGGAATGGAAGAACTGTCCAACGGCATGGAAAGCGCAGTACGCCGGTAGGAACAAGAAAGCAACGCTAATACTGGAAGCCGTTGCAGATCAGGATTTATGGATATGGCATTCCTTCTTTGGGATTCCTGGATCTTGTAATGACCTTAATGTCTTATACCGTTCCCCAGTGTTCGATGAGGTTCTGCATGGTCGAGCTCCTCCGGTAAATTTTACCGTTAACGGCCATGAATACAACATGGCATATTACTTAGCCGACGGTATTTATCCGAAGTGGGCAACTTTTGTTCAGGGTATCACAACCCCTCAACTTCAAAAAGATAAATTGTTCGCTGACCACCAGGCTGCTGCTCGAAAGGACGTTGAAAGAGCATTCGGTGTTTTGCAAGCTCGATTTGCAATAATACGAAAACCGTCACTGGCGTACAATGAGGACATACTGCGAGACATAATGAAAGCATGTATCATTATGCACAACATGATTGTTGAAGATGAGCGCCACAACTACACTCAAGCCGAAGTTCTAAGAGCCTTCTACGAAGAAGATCAACAAGAATCAACACCAGCATCAACATCTACAACGCCACCGTTTGAATTCAATGTAGGCCGACCTACCAACTTTGACTTCAACGCATTTCTACAGTGAAAAGCTTCCCTCCGTGACAGAGAAATTCATCTATCTCTGAAACGTGATTTAGTCGAACATATTTGGCAACGATACGGGCCACGTAATTAGGGAGAAATTAGCATGACTTAAATAAAGCCAAGTACTATGGCGTAGCTATTTTTCCGTACGCAGTCGAGTTATTTTTTAGTTGTTGTGTTTTTTTTATTTCCTAAGTTTAATTACGCATGACGTTGCAAATGTAATTGGTTTCTAGTATTGTACCGCTTTTAAAATAAATAAAAACATTTAACAAATTTTGAGCTTTTTTTTACTATTTTTTTTATATAACGTACTTAATTTTACGACAAATTTTAACGATAAAAAAGACAAAAATAAAAAATATAAGTTACACAAATTTAAACTAATTTTTATTTATTTGGAGTAACATTGTTAAAATATAAATGAAATAAATAAATAAAGAAGTGTTGTGTAGGAGAGAGAAAGTAATGTTGGGGTATTGAAAAAGTAAGAGAGAGAGAGAGTGGTGGGTGGACATTTTTTTTGCTCACCATTGGGAGAGAAAATGTTAAAAAAATTTGCCCATAAGCAAAAGTGATTTGTTAAGAGAGAAAGTGGGTAGAGAGAGAGAGTAGGTGAGCATTTTTTTTGCTCACCATTGAGAGTGGTCTTAGTAATATTATTTTTTTGGGAAATTCTCCTTGGTAACACCCAATTTTTCATTTTTCTTAATGGTAAATTGGTCAAAAAGTTATATCAATAGTAACATTGTATTTTTTGTTACCAAAGATAATAACTATTTTTTTTAATAAAAATCATTAAACATGGTTAATATTTTTTTTTAATAATAAAATTATTTTTAAAATAATTTTGTTTTTTAAAAAATATTCAACACCTCCCCAACTTACCCAGCCACCACCTAACCAACTCTCCCTTGCCGCCGTCGCCTAGCTCCCCACCCACGCCGGCCAATCCCTCCTTCCCAAGTCAGCGACTTCAAAAAATCAGAAAACTCTACACCACCATCACCATCACTGTTAGTTTTACAACCACCAACTACATCAAAAACATCATCAGCCTCCGATGAATCATGAACGATTTCGACGGCGGCGATGGCAGAGCGTCGACGGCAGTAGCCGCCGGAGCACCGCTAAAATCACCCTCATTGCTCGACCATGAAGCCGCAACAATTTGCGCAACACTGATGTTGTACAGTTCTGGCGAGCCTAGGTGTTCAATTGCCGAACAAAGTGGAGGAAATCGCAACTATTACCGGAAAACGAAGCTCCGCAGCTGCTACCTTCTTCCCGGCCGGAATCCTGTCCCCACCCCGAATCGACCTCCCTTTCCCCTCCCCAACCCTGAATCTACCTCCCCTTCACCCTGAAAATCCCTCCAAACCCAAAACCCCCTACCTCGAACCCCCATCTGAAACCAACCATCAAACACAGCTCGAATTTCGCCATTTTTATACGAAGATCTGCAATCACATTCTCACATCAATCAACTTTGAATCACTAAAAAATTCAACATTTTCAAACAAATTATTGGTGCGGAAATCAGGGTTTCAGAAATTGCAATGTATGAGCTTGAACCTTGAGCTCGAGATCTGAGTTTTCATGGCGGTTTGAGGATTGATATGGAACGAGGAAGTTGAAGGAATTGAGTTGAAGACTAAGCAGGAACCATGGAAAATAGAGAAAAAGAAAGGGGAAAAATAGAGGAGAGAGAAAGGTGGGGGAGGCCGGCCACTAGCAAGGGTAGGGACTGGCCGCCGGCACGAGAGAGGGGGCTGGGCTCCGGCTCCGGCACCAGCGCTGACGGGGAGGGAGATGGCTGGTGGTTTTTTTTAAAACGGCTATTTCACCGAATGCCTGAGCACATTAATAATTCACCAAATGCCATTAAGGTTTTCAAAATTCACCAAATGCCACCGAGTTTTAAAAAAATTCACCGAGTGCCATTAATGACTTGCCACTTGTCACCTTCTGATTGGTCCGTTTAAAAAAAATATATTTAAACAAAAATTAAAAAAAAAACAAAAAAAACAGAAAACCCTTGAAACCACCCCAGCCACCACCCGTTCCCTGCCGCCGAACCCCGAAACCCTGCCGCAGGCGGTGCCGGCTGCCGCCGAAGCAAGCCCTCCCCCTCCCCTCCTCTATCCCGTCGCGAAACCCCTCCCCTCCTCTCCACCGCAACCAGTCACAGCGCCACCAACAATTCTCCACCTCTCCTCACCCTACCCCCATCAGCCCCCAAACCCAATTTACACCGCCCTAACCAAAGCTTCTCCAAACTCTTCGTTTCACCAATCACCGTCATCGTCGAATCCCGCAATTCCATCGCAGTAGACCAATCTAACGCCATCAAACCCCGACAATTCGCAACCAAAACCGCTAAACCATTTCAAGTGAAAGACTTCAACCTCGACAGATCAACTAACTAGATCGAACAAGTTTGTAGTTGAAGATGAAGTTTCCGCCATTGTTGGTGGTGCTGTGACTGGTTGTGGTGGAGAGGAGAGGTGGAGAATTGTTGGAGAGGAGGGGTTTCGCGACGGGAAAGAGGAGGGGAGGGGGAGGGCTTGCTTCGGCGGCGGCCGGCGCGCCTGCTGGTGAGGGTGCAGGTCGCCGGCGGCAGGGAACGGGTGGTGGAAGGGGTGGTTTCAAGGGTTGTCTGGTTTTTTTTTTTTTATAGTTTTTTTTTTAATTTTTGTTTAATTTTTTTTTAAACGGACCAATCAAAAGGTGACACATGGTAAGTGGTGGGGTCAACTAACAGTCGTCAGTCATTAATGGCACTCGGTGAATTTTTTTAAAACTCAGTGGCACTTGGTGAATTTTGAAAACCTTAATGACATTTGGTGAATTATTAAAGTGCTTAGTGGCATTTGGTGAAATAGCCGGGGTTTTTTTTTTCAAAAAAAGTTGTTAAAATAGTATTTAAATTATATTTATCTTTTTTTTTACTGTTAAAAAATAAAAATAACTAACTATAGCTAAAGATTCATTAAAAATTCATCATTAATGTTATATTAAACTTAATATCAAAAGTACAAGTTTACCAATGATAATAGG